AAAGCTGGTAATAATTCTGAGCCAGGCATCTTGCTGAGGATTTCATGTCAGTGAGCACATTTGCAGGTCCAGCCTGCTCTAGGAGGTGCCTACTATAAATACCAGGAGTTTTCAGATAAGTCAACTAAAGTTTGGATATGTTGAGTAACTTTCCCAAAGACACACAGCTTGTAGGGGTCATAGTTCAGGTTCAAAGCTAGTTCCATCTGTTGCTGGAGCTCTCACACTTTGTAAACAATACGTCCTTTGGATATGCCAATATATGTTAGGGAGATGCATCAGGCAGTATATTCCAAATTTATTTGACATGTAACAGATAAGTTTCCTCTAGAAGCAGCCTCTGATGCTCTGAGATGTGTGTACAGAAAGTTCTTTAGGGTGGGCTCTTCAGATCAATGCTTGTTGAGCAAAACAAGACCAGTTGATGAAGAAATTGAATTCGGCCAATCCTACAGGGAGCTCTGAAGGTGAGGAGGTCTGTCAGATTAGTCCCAGAATGGGACAAGGCAGCTGGGCCTTTATTAACACCACTGCCACCCACCAGAGCCACCCCGTATTGAGCTTTAGAAGACGCAGGATGCCTTAAATGCCTTAGAAGATGCAGGATGCCTTCTTAGAAGAAGAATAGCCTTGAGTGGGGCATCTCTCTTCAGCAGAGGGCAAGTTCTAGAGAGGGAGAAGCTGAGGGATAAGTACTTCAGTTCATGAGTGGGGCATGTGGGCAGCTCATGACAACATCCACTACACCCCAGAGACCTGCTTTGATGTGTGGGGCGTCTGCCCAGGCAGCTCATGACACCGCAGAGCTTTGCTTGGGAGGACCTGCCTGCGAATCTAGTGCTCCAGGGAACACACACCCTTTGGGAAAGCTGTCCCAGAGACCAGAGCTTTAGAGATGAGCAATTGCTGGTTAGAAGCCACAGGATCTTTTCCCATTCTTCTCTTGGTGCTTCGAATAGAAACCTGTGATACTACTTGAGTCTACTCAGTCGGGGCGCTTTTAAGCATGTTGAAGAGCAGTGTGGGCATGGTATCTGGAAGGTTAAGTAAGAAAATCTACATATAGGATCTAGAGTAAATGATGTTGAGTGGATTACTATTGACTTCAGCTAGTTAGTGGCAGAATTGAGACTTGCAGAGGCTTCCCTGCTCATAGTTGATTGTTCTTGCCATCACACCTGACAGTCCTTGGTTTTGGGGGCAGGGATGTAAAAAAGTTCCATTCTGAAATCCCTTAGCCAAAAGGGCAGACAACCTTATGATCTGAAAGTTTTATTTGGAGACCAGTTAAAAGAGAGATGTTTCAGTTCATTGCTCATTTGTCATTCACCAGGACTGGGATGTCCCTGGGCGATGCTAAGCTAACATTCAGCAGCTTCTACAAGATGGCACACCACGTGCTGAAAGGTAGCCTTTGACAGCATTAGAAGAGGGTAATACAGCCTCCCAGGAGTCATAAGAGCAGGAACAAATGTGAACTGAAGATCAAACATCAGCCTGCTATACAAGACAGGACCAAGACGGGACACGGGGCAGCCTCAGAGGGGAAGAGACAGTCCACGGAATCAGTGCTCTGAAATGGGAATATGACTGATCTCCCAAATAAACAGATGGACAGATCACAGCCTCATTTAGATGCTATTTTGAGATCACTGCCCCTGGGGTTTTGTTTCTCTTCTATAAGCGGCTCCTCGGTTTGCCAGAATATAAATAGACTACATTGAGACTTATAGCTTGAAGGGGCCTAAAAGACTCGATCACCTAATTTCATTTCTTTTTTTATCAGAAAACCAAAGCCCAGAGAAGTCCATTGATTGGCCCGAGGTGACACAGGTAGTTAGTCACAGAATAGATGGGAAGTCAGCTTTTTTTTTTTTTTGCACTTGATCATTCATTTATTCTGCAGACATTGAACATTTCATGGGCGCTGTCCTTGGGCTTGAACCCAATGGAACATAGAGTTGAGTGGGACCCACTGCTTGTTTCTAAGAGGTTCTCAGCCAACTGGGCAGAGAGGCCCATGAACAATTCAGGAGGGAACACAATAGTGAGAACAATATGGAAGCATTTCCACGATGATAAATGACACGCACAGAATGCTGAGAGCCCCTAGCTACTCCTGGGGTGTTGAAGAATGGGTGGAGGTGTTGTCCTATATGCTGGTCCCCCCTGTACCAGAACATCCCCGAAGGAGAGGCGGGGTCTTTAATTTTCAGCCTCAGCCCTGCCCACGTCCAGAGCCTCAGCCCTGCCCATCCTCAGTGGGGCCATGGATGTATTAACTCTTTTAGATCCAAAGCAGATACAGTCTGGAATTGCTTCTGTCAACATGGGTCCCGTGTTCTGTGTGCCTGAGTACCTGCCTTTGGCATGACTTTAAATGATCCAAGTCCTCTTCTTATAAGAACACCAATCCTATTGGATTAGGTACCTCTCCCCCCCCATGACCTCATGTAGCCTTAAGGCCCTATCTCCAAATACAGTCACACTAGGGGTTAAGGCTTTAACATATGAACTAGGAGGTGGGGTAGAGGGAGGGGTGGGACACGATTCCGCCATAACACCCAGCAGTCCCCTTCCAAATGGGAATCCTCCCAGTAGCTGGAGTTCCCTTTCCAAGAGTCTCAATTCATGTCCTGCCTCGCTTGCTACTAATAGATCACAAAAGCCATGTGAAAATCGACCAATTCTAAAACAGGCAAAAATTCATCCAAGCTGTTAGGATGGTGGTTATCTTTGGGAATTAGAAACCAGAAGAAGCAGTGAAAAGGGATTCTGAGAAGGTGTTTCTTGATCTGGGTGTTGGCTACATGGCTGTGTTCAGATTGTGAAAATTCATCAGCCTACATACTGATGGCATGTATATTTCTTCTCTGTGTCTGTTTGTTCTAGGTGCCTGGTGTTGTGTAACAAACCACCCCCAAACATGGTGGTTTAAAGCAATCAACAGCATTATTTTTTTCTCACAAATCTGTAATTTGTCAGGGTTTGACAGGGATAATATATCTTTGCCCCAGTTTGTGTCAGCTGGGGCAGATCCCAGGGTAGGCACTAGGATCACCTGAAGGCTTGCTTGCTCCCATGTCTTGCTGTTGGGTGAAACCTTCACTGGGACTTGGCTGGAACACCCACATGGGGCCTCCCTAGGTGGTCTGGGCTTCTCACAACATTGTGACTGTGTTCCAAGGGTGAGAAGAGGTAGGTGGAAGCCATACTACCTTTCATGACCTGGTAATATCACTCACCCTGCATTTTGTTCATCAAAGCAGCCACCAAGCATTATCCAGTTTTAAGGTGAGGAGAAATAGACTCCATCTCTGGATGGGGAATGGCAATGTTCTGAAAGAGTATTTGGACCAGATATATTCTGGCAAATTTTGAGAAGAAAAAATTGCATCCTGCTACAATGTTGTACTTTAACAAAAAGTTAAAAAAAAAACAAAACAACTTTAGGTACAATGAAAATGAGAAAAAAATAACAATTTGGGAGAAACAAGTTGAGCCAAAGTCACCATCAAGCAGTCTAAAGTAATGTCCCACATCTCAATCCATTTTTGATCTTCCAAGAGCCTCTGTAGTTACAAAAATCTTTGACATACAACCATTGTACATGGAGAAAAGGAATAAACAAAAAATCAGCAGCAACCCACGTTGTGGAGGTAGGCAGGTTATTACACAGGGCTGGTTGAGGTTTGTGTATTTTTTTTTCCCAGTCATTTGTAATCATAATGGAAAAAAAGAACATTATCTACAAAATAGGAGGTTGCAGTGTGCAGGAAATGGAGCATGAAAGAGATTTGTGCTGTGATGTAGAGATTAGGAAGAACAACCCATGTGAATTAATAAATGGGATGCAAATATAGCACATTCAAGTGTAACTTCAGTGCAACTTCAAAGGTTTTGTTATGTGAAGAAATACAAATTCTCTGAAGTGATATTAAATATGGATTCTCTCTCCTGCCCCACCCCCCCCACCCCCTAGAATGGAACATGATTGCATTGGGATAATTTCAAAAGCTTTTCAATTCTAAGGTGATGTCAGAGTTCATTCCCATCGAAACTCTCTGATGTTCTTTCTGTAGCCATTACTTTCTTTGCTCTATCATGGGCCATACCCAAAAGTATGTTTGTCCTTCCTTACCCCATGACCTTACCTGAAACCAATCCATCTACCTATATGTTTTACCTTAAAATTTCTGGCCACTCCATCCCTGTTCTCAGAAAATTTCTCAGACCCTCCCTGTTCCATTTCCAGCTTATCTGTGCTCCAGGCATATATCACTTTATCTGATGTTCATCCCATCGCTCATGTCCTGCTTTACCCCCCCGCCCTTGATCTTGAGGGCAGATTTAGTCTCCTCCATTTTGTCTCTCTGAGAAACGGGTCTTTGTTGCCCTAGGCTTCCTGATCCCTGGACATTTTAAATAATTCTTCCATATATTCAAGGACTGGTCTTGGATCCCATCCTGACATTAGGCTGGGAGGTCAACAACATGAATATAGGAGATCAGGCAACATTTGGGGTTATAGCTGCCAAGACTGATCACGGTGGGGGTGTGGGATTTGGCTCAAAGAATGTGGGAGCCACTCAAGATAACAGCACCATCAGCATCTTCACAGGCACTGCAGGATACTATTAAAGATAGGAAATTTGAAATTGAATTGTAATGATTTTCATAAAGGAGTAGGATGCAGATCACCAAAGGCATTGCATGCTCATCTCAAGCTTCTTACCTAGCTGCTCCCCCAAGAGATAGAGCTTCTTCTAATTCAACACAGGTTTAAGTCAGGTTTATCTTACCCAGAATATTCACTGCAACATCTTAAAGCACAGTGTCTGGGTTCTCAGTATTTATTAAGTGAATGAAAAACTGTCTACCTCCTTTATCATGAAATTACTGAGACCACAAAGTTGGAGCATGAAAGAGATTTGTGCTGTGATTTTTTTTTGTTTTTTTTTTGTTTGTTTTGTTTTGTTTTTTTTAACCATGCCAACCAATCAATAAGTTTTAATATATCTCAAAAGAAAATTAAATTAATTAGAAAATCATGTCAAAAAAGGTTTTTTCACAATTGAGATTAACAACACTTTTAAGAGTATGTATTCTGCTTCAGGATATTCCCAAATGAAAGTAATTTGGCCAAAATTAAAATCATCAAATTGCAAGACTGAAAAAAAATATTAGAGACTATTATATTCAGGCAGATCATGCTGTAAGCGAACTGCTTTCAGCTTCTCCACTTCAATTTTTGCTCTTAGCAGCTCTTCCTCTAGCTGCTGCCTTCTTTTCAATCCATCCCTCTTCTCCTGAACATACAATCCAAAATTTTTTTGATTTTCTAAAATTATCTGATGCTCCTCTTTCAACATTTGCAGAATCTGAGGATCATACCCTAATTGTGACCTAAAGTGTTCTCCACGCTCATGCCGAAAAAAATCATCTCTCCTTGGGATAGAAGATGGAGACGATGTCATTCTCATATCAACAGAGGAAAGTGACAGCGACAAAGATCTTTCCATAACATGTACTAATTCATGGTTTTCTCTTTGTTCTAAAATATCACTCTGTTGAGAATTTAAAACCAGTGGAGGAGGGGGCTTAATGTCTTCTTCTTGCTTCACCTCTACTGTAATAGCAACTGGATGGTGATCCAACATTACCTGTAGTGAACTCGTACCAGCCTGTGCTTCCTCATCCAAGTTTGCATCCAGGTGGGGGAAAGTGTCCAATGGATTTATAGTTTGAGTGTATTTCTCTTTCCCGCGATGGCTCAAGGCACCATTTGGCACTGTCCGCATGAATGAAAATGGGGCAGGGCTTCATGGGCAGAATGATAAGGCACATGAGCACACCATCCAGAACCCCCTCCACAGCACCTCTTCTTCTTAACCCCCTGTGAAAGGAGGCAGAAATAATTGTGGTTGAGGGAATGAAAGATATTTTCTCCTTTCTTAAGCCAGCTGTTTCCTTAAGGTTCAGAGGCTGGTGAATTCTCATTGTGTCCTCATCCCAAGACAAGTGCACCCAAGCTCAGAACTGGTCTTTTTCTAGAGAAGAGCAAGCATTTGCTGCTTGACTTTCTACTTTCTTCTCTTGGAGGAGGTCAAAATTGTCCATCAATTGCTACTTGGCCAGCATTTCACATTACTGTGTTGACCTCTCACTTCTTTTTTTTTTTTTTAAAGATTTTATTTATTTATTTAATTGAGAGAGAGAGAGAGAGACAGTGAGAGAGGGAACACAAGCATGAGGAGTGGGAGAGGGAGAAGCAGGCTTCCCGCCGAGCAGGGAGCCCAATGCGGGGCTCGATCCCAGGACCCTAGGATCATGACCTGAGCTGAAGGCAATTGCTTAACCAACTGAGCCACCCAGGCACCCCTGTGTTGACCTCTCTTTAAGAGTCTCTCTGCTCCAAAAACATAGAGATATATTTCACAACGGGGTTATGAGAGGCCCTTCAATGGATATATAATAAAGCACTGTTAGTGTCAGGAGAAAATCCAACACCAAACATTTTTTATCTTTGAGTCCTTGGGGGAACTTTGAGAAGCCATATCTGAATAAACAGTCCAAAACCAATTAGTTCCTCAGATATTCATTGAGATCATGGGAAGGGTAAGACACTTGGGGTCTTGATCCTGTCTCGCTCAGTTGCGAAAGGTGCAAAATGACCGTTACCTCGTCTGGGTGAGGTTTAAACAGATGACAAGGAGAAAAGACCCGGCACAGAGTAGGTGCTTAGTAATAGCTCAGGTGTTCCTCTCCTGGAGCTTCAAGAAGATTCCAATCTAGCAAGGAGACTAAAAATCAACTGTGGCATAAGAGAAAATATGGGAACTCCCATAATAGAGGGCCAAATGCTGCATTATGGGAGATCAAAAGTAAAGGGGGGCTCTCTGGGCATCAGAGGCCCCTTTGTGGCTGCGGTAGCATTTGCTCTGAGAGTTGAAGAAGGGGGAGAGTTTCCATACGCAGGCAGGTGCTTGGATCATGTATGCAGGTTTCCAGACTGCACCCATGAAGCAGGGATTTCCCCAGGAGCCCACTGATATAGCCTGAGCTGCCTGAGCATGACAGGGATGGTGGAATCCAATGGACTCTAGGGACTGAGGAGTTCCTGGGTGACATTTTATCCCAGGAGTGGGAGGGGTGGGGCATGGCGAGCCCTAACCATCCAAGTGGAGCAATGATGCGGTCACAACCACACGGGAAGAAAGATGAATCCGTGGCACCTGGAAGACATATGGTGGGGGGTGTAGATTGAGGGTTGTGAAAGCGGTAAAGAAGCAACTGAGGAAGTCCAGGTCAGGGGTAGCGAGGACTTCAATTAAGGCTGTAGTTGAGGGACACAGAGGGAGGGCATGAGTGGTTGCAGAATTTCTACGTAGGAGGCACCTGGGGCTGGTAGTCAGCTCAGAGGAGAGATCTAGGAGACTTAGCTGGAAATGGGTTTGTATAGGCAGCTCAAAGCTCTATCTCAGATTGTATCTTGTCTATTTCCAGCAGCTGGATGAGTGTTGGGGACGCTGATGGAAAGAGTGGGAGGGGGACATAAAAGCACCCTGAGGTACACTTAAGCACCTTCACTAGAAGAGAGGATGGCTGTGTTTGAAACCAAAATTGTTATCACCTTCAATCTGTCTTAATTAGGTCTCAGGCTTCTCTTTCTTCCTCTTTAAATGACAAGAATTGACCGGATGTTATCCAGTGTCATTGTCAATGTTACGATTCTCTGGATTTTATGCTCCTTCCTTTGAAGAATCTTGCCAAGTTTTGGGGCCTGCATGGTTACCACCAGAAGCTCCATGGGGCGCCTGAGTGGCTCAGTTGGTTAAGCATCTGACTCTTGATTTCGGTTCAGGTCATGATCTCAGGGTCGTGAGATTGATCCCCGAGTGGGGCTCTGCTCTCAGCATGGAGTCTGCTTGAGAGTCTCTTTCCCTCCCCCTCTCCCCTCCCTGGCTCATGCTCTAAATCAATCAATCAATCAATCAATCAATCAATCTTAAAAAAAAAGAAGAAGCTTCAGGAAGCCAAAGGATGATTGTAGCTGTGGTCTTGAGGTGGACCTCCTGAGCACCCCTTACTGGGCTGTACCACCATAACCTCTGCTTACTCACAGTTTCTTGTATTTCCTGAAAATTCCTGCTATCTTCGTGATACATACAATCTGTCGAGTACTCACATGGAATTAGAGTTGTTTCCTCTTGGAATACACACGGCCCATTGCAATAGTATTTAGCCCAAATTTTTCCCTGGTGAATAATTTACAAGACAAAGGAGGCATGTGCTTTATGCTGACCCTCTGGAAATACCCAGTGACAAATTCTACATACTGGTTCCTGTTGCTTTAGACATCTGCTTCTTTCCTCACCCGTCATATTATACACTATTTGCGAAGGCAGGCAGCCTCTAAACATCAATGGAAGTTAAGAGGGGCCATTGTAAGATTCCTTAATTCTTACTAGGAACCTGTTCAAGGCAAGTGCCAGACCTTAGACTTCTGTATGTCTGGGGGGAGGTAGGGAAAAATGTCTAAATTTACTGTTTTCCCCCAATATTTTACTATGAAAACACTCAAACATATGGGCAACCTGAAAGCATTGTACAGTGAATAGTCATATGGCCACCAGCTTAGTCTACTGGTAACATTTTATTATATTTGCTTTATCACATCTCTATCCATCTATTTGTCCATCATTCTATAATATTTTTCTATATAATATAAAGTAAGCCACAGATAGCCATAAGCTTACCCTTAAACACTTCCAACTTGCTGGTTTTAATAATTTAATAATATCAATTGGTAGTGTTTATTGAGCACTTCCTATATTCTGGGCACATAAGTAAACACTTAATACAGTTCCTCTTCACAATGACCCACAAAGGTAGGATCATCTCCACTTACCTACAATCTGCATTTAACAGATAAGGCTTGAACTCAAATGTATATGACTCAAAAATACTTCAATAAACAAAAGAAATCAGGCCAAATATTGGACAGCATCACATGGCATAATTAGGTCACAAAACCCCAAATCAGATATAAGAGTAGGCTTGATTCCAGGCTGATAACAGGCTGATCACCAAGGTCTGGGATGGATATAGCCAAGATACCGGTTGGAAGTGAGAAAAAGAAGAAAGGGAATGAAGGCAGAGTAAGAGCCAGAGTTCCAGGGAAACTGAGGCTGTGGTAAGCAGGGACTGATGCAGAGCACAGGCTTGGAAATTATGTTGTATGTTGGAAGTGTAGGTGAGAGACAGTCTCCCAGTAACCTTTCTGCTCTCTCCTCCACTCATCTCAAAGTTCCAATAATCTATGCCATGAGTCTAAAACCGATTCTTAAGTGGGACAAGTGTTGCCATCATTATTATCAATAGCCATGGACCAAGTTCAAAATGCCAGATCAGAAAGGCACAGGCCAGCTATCTGTCCTTTGACACTGAGTCTTCTATGGAAAGACAGTTTCATGTGGTAGAGAACTATAATACAGTTGTCTACATACTCATAGGCCTCCCTTAGGGCCCCTTGCATTTTCCTATTCTCTTTGCAGTCAGGTGGATTTGTGCAGAATTGGTTTTGGGAAATGGGCTGTGAGTGGAAGTGATGTGTCATTTCCAGACTAAACTCCTTAAGAGTTAGCACAAGACTCGCCATCAGACTCTGTCTCAGCCACATCTCTTATAGAAGTCCTGAGATGGCAGGACCAAAAAAGGAAAGAGCCAGAATCTCTGAGTTACTGTTTAAAGTTGACTGCCTAAATAACAATATAAATAAAAAATGAACCCTTATGTATAAGCCACTGTGATTTGGAGGTTTGCTTCTTACTGCAGCAAAGATTAGATCATCCTAACTAATGCACTCTAACAAAACAATACACAGTGCAAGCCAGGAGGTGAGGGAGAGCTCTGGAGTAGAGAGGGAAACTTTATAATAAGCTAGAGAATTGAAAGATAAATAAGTGGAAAGAAGGAGAAAATTTCGGCTAGGAGAATGGTGGGAGAAAAGGCACAGGGACTGTAACATTACTTAGTGTTTCCTGTGGGCCACCAGGCTGGACCTACAGTTGAGTATCGTGGAGCCTCACATGAAGGTGCTTATCTACTATGAAAAATCTAGAGAGTAACTCTGATATCTGTCTGGGTGCTGATTTGCTCATCCTCAAACTTCAACATTCAAAATTCTTTAAACTCAATCTGTCCTGTTACAACATAAGGTCTTCTTGTTCTTGGAATAAAAAACACAGTTGCTTGCTATCACCCATAAAATATTGCTTCATTAACTTGAAGACTGTAATTAACTACATATCAGCCTTCTGGCTCCAGGCAAATATCCATAATTCCTTTAGTCTTCCCTCACAGTCTGCTTCTAACCTGTTAATCATTTTCCCTGCCCTTTTGCCATCATCAGTAGAAGGGAAAAAAGCCCTTTAAATAGAAGCTAATCACCCATAGCACTCTGTTAGGCACTTTACAGATGCCCTTACATTAGACTAAACCAGATACGCAGATAAGGACATACACACGCACACGTACACACACACACACACACAGAGTATGCGTATGTGTGTGTGCTTGCGTATATGAACAGATTTTTTTTTTTTAAAAAGGTAGATTAATGGTCTAGAAGAGCAGGAAAAAGAGAAGATTATTTCACAAAAGATTTCACATGTGATCATTTTAAATAACGAACTCCCCTAAGTGCCTTTAAAAATGAGAGTTTATTTATCCCCCTCTAAAAATGCTTACAGTTCTTTATTTTACCAAGATGCTGGCTGCAAGTCTGTTTGCACATTGA